GCTTGTCAATCACTATTGGTCGCAGCGCAACTGAGCCAAAGTACGCTGAGCCCAGAGGTGGGCAACGGATAAATCCGACAAGACTCTTGATACTCCCACTTCCTGTACTGGTAAATTGACTTGCATTTCTATAGCACCTTTTTAGTCGTCTAACCAACCAAAGCGTTTTACACTGCATTCCACACACTCTCACACACCAACGGAAACAGCCTTCGGGAAACAATTTGGCGTTCAGTAACTAGCCCAAGAACACTTGGACAGGCTGACTGGAGAAGCTGAGTTTCGAATCACCAATCTTTTAATTGCTGGACAACGCCACCCTACCGCCGTGTAGGATGATCATGTCTTGCTTGTAATGCAGTGGAGTTTACTTTCTGTTAAACACCAATAATCTGCTCTAAAGATATTCTAGAAAAAGAATTGAAATGTTGGGCACTGAAATGTTGGAAGCATTGACTGTAAAGTAGCACTCCGTAGACCTTTCCAATATCAATGTGCTGTCTGGCGATAATGGTCGAAACGGGTGGAGAAGGGTGTCTTTGATGTTTTTGGCCGAAGGAATGCGTTCTCTAGTTATCTGAAAACTCTGGTTTCTGTCTTTTTCAAGAACTGGCAACATGCCACAGTATACAGATTAGTTTTTCTTCAGTCTACATGTTGTTCTGAGGGAACTGATTTGTTGCCTGGAGAACTGGATGTTCTTTTAGACATTTTCATATATTTTTGGGCCAAAGAAGATTTCACACTATAAGATTGACAGGGAATCCATTATATTTTTTTACTCGTTATTCTATCATTTGTCAGAGAATTCTGTCGGCTATTGTATAATGTCCGACATTGGACAAACATAAAATAACAAGGACTATTATGTTTTATCTATTTGCTTGCGACCTGTTGGACGATCATTATCGTATCCAACAGACATCTGATCAGATTAGTCTTGTGGTTGTACAAGTTTCTTGTCTTTTCCGTTTCGCCCCGCAAACAACTAGATAACAAAATAAGTAGAATCTCCTAACCAAAGGTCCATTCACAGTGTTTACTGGTTCATCAAACTTATTCATTTTTTTTTGTTGTGAATGTGTTATGAATTAAAAAGCAGAACATATAGCCACATATTTATTCTCTCTGTTGTCTTTTTGTTTTTGTGACAGCATTCAGTTCAGACTTTAGCCAATGTGAGGTATTACAGAAATGTTACGGGTCACAAATGTTACACAAAGTGAGTCCAGTGCACCTTTACACCGACACCTTCATATAACAAGGTGCATGAGAAAGTAACTCTTGTGCCAGAGATTGTTTTTCACTCACTTTCATCACCTAAATGTAGTCAGATGCACAATTCATTGCAGATTGTGAGAACAATAGCAGTTGTTCATCTGTCCATCCCTCTCTCCCTTCTGCAGTGTAGACACATAAATGAAAATAAAATTGGTTTTCCTCATCTGGTTTAGCAGTAAGATGGCAGCCAAGTCACCACAGGGATGTTGAGGAAAATTCACAGAGAGTGGGGATGAGGAATGTGAGATGTTGTGCTTCCATCCCCCATGTCTTCCAACAGACACAGTGACAGTTATCAGGAGGATCTCGGCTCGCTTTGTTTTTGTAAATGATTCGGCTCTTCTATTGACAAAGCAAGTTGAGAGTCTCTTTTGTGTTTTGGAAATACTGGACTTCACCATTACCCAGAGGAAATCCTAACATGTACACACAACGGTGTTTTTTTTCAGCAAATAATCAGTACAGCACAAGTACTGATGAAAATGACACATAGTACTAAGCAATAACCAGTTATACCATCATCACTAGAATAGGCAGCCTTTCCTGTAACCTTATAAACATCAGTATTATATAACAGAGATTGGCAGCACAATATATCACTAGGCTAATCATAGGTAAATGACAATTTACAATATTTTATATTTGCAATATATTGCTAGCATTTTGTAGATTCTTGTAGTCAGGAATATGCAAACATATAAATACACATAAGAGCTAACAAAAATGTGCACAGTAAGTCTTTCTTGCCAAATGCAATTAGAATGCTGAGTGCATAGCCTTAATCTTAATCTGTTCCTCCTCCCATGTTATTTGTACTTTGGTATTGTATTTATGCACTTTAAATCATGTTGTTTGTTGATACTGTGCCCCAGATGTTTGTTCTCATCCTTGTTTTATATTGTTTTTAACGCTGTGTGGTGAAGCCAAAAAAACTGTTTTCCCAACGTGGACAATAAAGACTGACTAACATGTGAACTTCAGTATAGCAACTCAACAATATCAAATATTTACTATAATGTAGTTACAGGTGAAATTATTTTGGTTTTATTGCCTGTTTTCTTCTCTTATAACAGTGCACACCAATAATAATACTTTAGCAAGTAGTGTTTTTGGTGCTTTTTTCTGTTGGAGCTCTTGACTTGAACACAAATATAATATACTAAAGGTGGAATTCTGTCAGTAGTACTGATGAGCTGATCCATACCATTTCTAGGAGCCAATCAAACCAGAGTAGACCTACATGTTCATAAAACCTATCAATGAAAGGTATGCATATTTGGTTGCATTTTATGGGTTAAGCATTACATAAGTGAATGATAAGTGTCAGAAGAAAACACAACCATAAATATATAAAGAGCTGTTTGTAAAGAAGTTTCCTGTATTTATACAAGAAAAAGGAAACAAACGGGACCACGAGGGAACGTCTACTGCAGATAGAGGACGTATCTGTAGAGAAAACATTAAATTCACGGGGCATTTAGAACTACATTAACAAGTGCAAACAAAGAAGATGAGTGGAAATAGGTCGCATATTAAATTATATTAACTTTACTCTTATCATTTGTACCCCCGAGTAATGCAAAAGCAAGAGGCGTAACATCCTGTCAAAAGTGTGTTTGGAGATAACAGCTCATAAGTAAGCAGCTGCTAAAACTAGTGAGCTGAAACTGGTATTTTATATTATATATATGGCTATATATTGCTAATACATCGTGTTGAACAATGTTATATTGTGCAGGCTTTCCAAAACTTCCTATCAGACGGAAGAATTTGAAACGGATGTACTGAAGCTAAGTAGAATTTGAAGCAGCATATCACGCTAGAAAATTCATTAGTCTCTGCACGCGCAGGATTTGGTTGCTATTTGTTGAAATAGATGCAATGTACATACACAGCTGGGCCTTAAGTGTTGCCATGGTCACATGCAGAGCTTTGTCAGCTGTGTCTATGCAGTGTGAGTGAGCTGTGTTGATCAAGTGCAGCCTCACAAAGCAAGCAGAGCTTGACCATTTTTTTGCCACCATTGATGATTAACAGGTGGTGTCGACTGCCTTCCTTGGTGCCCCCATGTTCAAACAAACACCACCTCTTGGATGCCTCTATGGTAGATAAAACATGATAAAGTGCCCTGTACTGTATCTTTCTAGTGGAGAAAACATTAAATGTCCTTTAGGGTTCCCTTTGAGTGGAGGAAATGTGATGAAGTGCCCTCTAGGTTACCATTGCAGTGGAGAAAACGTGATGAAGTAAGTGCCCTTTAAGGTTACTTTTGAGTGGCGAAAATGGGATGAAGTGGCCTCTAGGGTGCCCTACCAATAGAGAAAACATGATGAAGTGCTCTCCATGTGGCCCTTCAGTGGAGAAAATGTTATACAGTGCCCTCTAAGGTGGCCTTAAAATTGTGAAAACAGGATGCCATAAAGGCTACACTAAATGCTAGAAAACTTTCTGTGTGTTGGTGACCTACCTCATGCAGCTGGTGCCCTTTTGATATTTTTTGCCCTGGCCCTTCAGACAGCCTGAGTCTGCCACTGGTGTACACACTGTCAATGGTGTTATATATCCCTGTCCGTTAGAAGGTCACACGTGACCGACTATGATGAATACGTTATTGTTCACAGTCTTTACCAACAACAATATTATATAACAAAGGAATGTACAAACAATAAGGTCCCGGCCTCTCCATATCCACATACTGTTGAACAGGTAGAGTGGTGAATAAATGTACCATTAGCTGGTTTATGCTGCCCTCTGTTGTCTAAACATCTGTGCAGGATGAATATGGGGGGGAAAACGATGATAATAATCACAATTTAGTGCAGGGTAGAGGCATCCTTTGACAAATAATAACTTGAATATTTACGACACAACTTGTGCTGCCTACTGTTAGCTCAATAAACCTTGTGTTTCAGCAATAACCAACATTTGTGAGACACAACCATACACCCATTTGACCACATTAAAAACAATAAGTGCCATCTGATAGGGGCGGTACGGAATGGTCCAAGTCGCGGTTTAAACAAGGGAATAGCTATCTTTCTAATCTCTTGACTAAAAATGCTCTAAAATTTAAGAGCAGTAAGAGAACCGTAAGACCTCTGTGTTTTCACTCTGTCATTCCCAAAGCACATTATTCATCTATGCCAATCATTTAAAAAAACATACATCCAAGTGACATGTATAGACAATAAACAGTATATTATTCCAGGACAATCCACAATCTCCAAAGTCAGAGCGAAGTGCATCATTGCTTTCGACCTTAGAGCCGCGGCTTCCAGCACGTGTGCCAAAAGAGGGCAAAGAGTGAAACGTGCAGGCATGCATGAGTCAACAAGGGGATGAAATGTTTGAGGAGCATGTTTTTCAAGCCCGGGATTTGTTAGTTGTCACTCCTTGTTTGAAGCGCAACCACACAGTAGAAAGTGCCTGGGAAATGTCAACAAGTACTCCACTCCCCTGTCCTTATACTAGACAGGATACCAGTAAACAGTAAATTCTGTTCAAACAGTTACCATCACCCCCTTTTCTTCTCAGCAGGCATCAAGATGATGTGAACTTTACCAAGAGCCGGGGTGCCCTGACGGTTCAGGGAAATGGTCTCGCTACAGAAAAGGCTCGCTGGCAATTCCACAACAGTTTCGTCTGTGAGAAAAGGATGATCTGGATTCTAACTCCGAGCATGTGCTCAGAGCAGGAGCTTTTGATGTATATAATGTAGCTGTACGACAACAAAACAATGCTGTAACAGGACAATTACATTTCGGCTTGATTTATGGCTGGAACATCCCTCTAGAATTATAAGCTGCTGGAAAGAAGCTTCTGTATAAGCTTATTATAACAGCATTTGTTCTACCTCCCTTCATCTCTGTGCTGAATTTACTACATAGTACTTCCTGTGGTTTGAAAAAGTACAATAAGTAAGTTACATTCAGTGTGGTGTTGATGAACCCTGTCGTCCCACAATGCCATGCATGATGAAAATAAAAAAGCATTTTCATTTTACTCAAATTTGTGATTTACTTCCAAAGTCAGAGTTCAATTAATGGAAAGGTACTTTCTTTCCTTGTAAACTAACTTCCTAAATGTCAATTTAAGGTTCTATAGGGACATTAGTGCAACGATCCACTGTGACAATACCACTTTCAAAAATACAACTTCAACTTTGTTTAACAACCGTGTTATAACTTTATAGCAAATAAGGACCTGTCTAGGATGAGCCTAACAAACTGAACTAGGATGTAACTGCTTCATAAAGAACACACTCGCTAACACACTAAAATGACACATGAAGCACATTTATTGAAACTGATGCTCAAAGAGCAAAACCTCAGCTGCACCACTAAGAGCATTCTCAGCCTCACATGAGCAAAACACTAAACCAATCTTCTGTACATTGTGACTTCTTCGCCATGTCAAGGCCCTGCTTTTCAACATCATTTCCTGAGGACCGATCGATCAAACACAACCGTCAGGTGTACGTACACTTATGTGCTTAGTTGTAAACTCACCAATCAGGCGAAAGCACTATAAAAAGCAGGTGCTTTGTTTTTCTTTTTTTGTCTCCTAACTCCACTGCTACTGTAAAAAAAACAAAACAAGGCTGATGTCCTTACACCATTGCTTTATAGCGTGTGCTGTCATACTGTATTACAGTATGGCATGCCAACTGTCTGGCAGCAGACAGATGAGCTCTCTATGAAGTCATAGAAGAAGCCCAGAAAATATTTCCCCTGCTCCAACAGGACGACATCTTCAGATCAGCATTCGGAGGGATGCAACTCACCCCCGTCACCACCTCTACTCTCTGCTGCCATCTGGTGGCCGCTACACGGCATCAAAGGCCCAGCACCTGACAGAACTGGTTTACAGGTCACACAAGTCCAATACAGCTTTCAATAATTGTAATTATTGCTTTCAATAATTGTAATTATTGCTTTCAATAATTACATTTGCCAATTTTGTTGAATATTATCATTTATTTTCAAAACCTAATCCCGTGGTTTACCATGAATCTAATCGCTTGCAGGTACAACATGACAGAGTGGACTCGGCTTTCACAAATGAAAATCACTGATGTTGGGTGCTATGTATTACAAAGGTCAGATCAAACAAAAAAATGTGCATGTCAGTCAAGCCGGGAACACAAATTTACACACATTGACAACAATATTAAGCTAGTGCCTCGTTTTCTATTTTTATCGTTCAATACCAAAACACCACTTTATTCTACCCACCGACTAGAATGATCCTCACACACCTTTAATTTATTAAGTTTCACACAGAACACCACAGTATGCGGACGACACTAGATCTATACAACCACAAACTAAACAAGTCCATCAGAAATCAATCTAAGGCGCTTTACAAAACTGATTAGCTAATTTAACATAATTGGTATGACAGGTAACATTAAAGGGAATGCTTATATTCTCTTAATGGCTTCATCAATGTCTGAAATCTGGTCCTTCAGTTGGCTCCATTGTTCAGGATTCAGGGAGATACCTACAAGAAATGTCAAACAACAGGTTCAAACAACAGGTTCAAACTGTGTCCTACACCGCAACTGCAAATAGGGCTGGGTATCGGTGGTCAATTCCTTTTAGGTATCAACCATAGACTGTAGACCGGGGGCGACTGTGGCTAACGGCAGGGCCGTCCTTCAATCAGAGGGTCGGCGGTTCAATCCCCGGCTCCGGCTCTGCTAGTCGCATGTCGATGTGTCCTTGAGCAAGACACTTAACCCCAAAATTGCTCCCGTAGCTGTGCCTACGGTGTAGAAATAATATAGAATCTGAATTGTAAGTCCCTTTGGATAAAAGCATCTGCTAAATGACTGTAATGTAATGTAGTAGACAAAGTCATTGTGACGTCACCCATTGGTTTGTGGACTGCCATTATGAAGCCTAGACTTTGCTGATTTGGCCGCCGCCATCTTGGCTTTTTTGCAACCAATGAACAGAAGTTACCATATTTGGAACGACACCCAGCCTTAACTGCAAACAACTAAAATCATCACACATCCATCTTTCCAGTTCCTGGCGTAGTTCTTCAGATAAATATGTACTGAATGTAGATCACTGAAAACGTATCATTAGCATATGCAGGCTTTGGAGATGCGATTACCCTTTTTCCCCGGCTTCATCTCTCCATCTTGGTTCATCCAGTACTCTCTGATGTCAACCAGGACTTTCCCTTTGAAGTCCCTCACGCTGACATACCTCATCTTTCCAATCTGTAAGAGGCAAACCAACGGTCAACTGGACTTCTTCTGCACAAAACATTTTTTGGGGAGAAGTACATTTTGAGGCTTTTACGGTACCATTCAAAAAGCACACAACAATACCTCCGTCCACACGTAAGGTAGAATATTCAAGGTATTAACCTAGAACATTTTTGGCAGTGGGAAAATACCTCAAACATTGTGCTGTTCATACACTTGTGTAGTAGTGAATTACAACTGAATTAAAAGAAAACTTGATCTTTTAGTCTATTTCAACAATTAACCTTGATAAATATGAATTTTACATACATTACCTACATATAAAATGGATCTGTTGAATATGAAATAAAAGTACACAGTAGATAATAATTCTCCATCTGAACAGCTTTAACTACAGTGTGCCTGTAACTCCCACCTGGAACATGTTGTCGTCGCCATTACTGTTGGCCTTGGATGAGCCACCTGGCTTGGAACTCTCTCCACTCTTTGGTTTCTTGGCTGGTTTCTCGGGTACACTTGACTTCTTTCTCTTTGCCTGAAAAAATAAAAATAAAAAAAACTTTTCTAATTCTTGCCTCACATTCTGTACTTGCCATGGGTCGTAAATGTAGGCGATCTAGTCCAGGGGCTGACTTGTATAGATAGAGTGGAATATTTGAGAATAGTGAAGTTGGCATCTGCTGATTGAATGAATACGTTCTGTACTGGGCCAAACATTTTGTATATTTTATTATTTATATAAATATATTCCTTGCTATGGGCATCCCTACTAATAGTTGACTTCTCTCCGTTCAGTGTTTATGTCCACAGACCTTTTAATCCAAGAACCAGATACTCTCTAAAGCAGTTGCTCACTTTCTGTACTACCAGCTAAGTTTCATGCCACCTAGCAGGGTTGTAGTACTTGAACGCCTCAGTATCGACCGCATTTTGTCCAGGTCTCGTCTCAGTCTCACACAAAGACACTTCTGGAATTTAGAGACCTAAACTGCGGGGATGTAACCAAACCATTCATGCATTGTCTGATTCATTTGTTGACAATTATTACTGTGGTTGGATGTAGAACTTCCTGCTTCAAATGTAATAAATTAAAAACATGAGTTATTTCTGTTACCACTGACAGCGTGGCAATAAATGAGGCGGATGAAGAGGAATCTTCATTTGTTTTCTGTGGGTGGGTTTTTTGTGGGAATGTATACCTTTCAGATCAACGTGAGGCCTATTGTCTGTGTGTTACAGATCTTATCCTTAAGTGTGTCTTCGTCGTGACTTGCTCGACTATAACAATGCCATCTAGCCTTGAGGTGCGCCGAACATTCCCACTCAATCTCGGAATACTATCTGCTTTGTGGTTCATTTTTCAAGACATGTTTGAAGGATACAGCAGACAGATAAGTTATTATTAAAGCACAAACCTTGGTCTCTACTTCACTGTCTGAGTCACTCCCAGACGTGGAAGACAGCACTTCCTTTGATTTTGGCATTCTGCTGAGATAGGGATCACAAATCAGACCACTGTTTCTGTACGTGACATATAAAGAGACTACCTACAGTGACATATGCATGGTCGGGTTATCTTTAAACGGTAACGACATTCTTCAGTCTGTAACTTAAGACAGAGTATACAGATATTACAGGTATCTTTCCACCTGCACTGTGAAGGTCTCTCTTCACAGCCAGTATGGTATCAAAACTCCACATATGGGCTTGTGAGTAAAAATGTCATTTAGACAAGAGTATTCAAACGGCAGGCTTTTTGGGGAATGCAATTTGTATCGATGCAATATCACAGGAGCTGGTTCTGTAATAGAAGACGGTATTCTGTGGGATCCCACAGAACATGACATCACACAGCAACATCAACTGGTTTTACAAAATATGTATTTATTTCATTAATATATATTTGTAAATACATTATTTACTAATTAAAATCAGACAGAAAAGTAAACTGCAAAATTACATAAAAACCAGTTTACTAAGCTCGCGAGGTACGTCTCCGACTTCATAATGGCGGTTCCCAAACTTAACATAATTTAATAATGATTAAAACAGGAAATAAACATATTCATTGTCACAGGAAACAAACACATATTTACTTGTCACAAATAACTCAAACTGTGAGCAGAAGCTGAAGAAATAATGGATGTTATCGTGCAGGCGGCGGAATATTCTCTCTCTGAGGATTGTGGAGACGCGCTGCTGAAGGAGCGATGTGCGCCATTAGTCATTAGTTCCGTATCTGTGAGGGTGCCGTTAATTACGCTGCGAGGGTTATGTGGGTTTAGGGAATTGATAATGTGTTGAGGCGTTAGAGCGCTGCGAGCTGCATTTCGCGGATATTTTTCTACCTGACTTCAACCTGCAATAACATATCATCTAACGTTAGCTGCTCGCTAAGATGCACGTTGGTGAAACCGCTGCGATAAGATGGTGCGTGTTCAGCTACACGCATTGACATTATCTAGCGAGCTAGATGCTATCCGGATAGTTTAGCCACAGGAGCTAACGTTAGCAGAGCCCCGTTGTCTGTGTACGCCGTCTCGTTTCTAACTTTCTTTAGCTGGTGGCACAACGAGCTAAGATGCGGTAAAACACGGTCCTGCTCTTCTATTAAACCGAACAGCTTGGCAGCGACACGTTTTAGCATGTTCTTTTTTTTTAAACTGTTAATGCTTACATGATGTGATGTAGTTGAGCAGATCTCTAGACAGGAAACGGAAAGCCGACTGACTTCCCGTCGCGAGGTCTGCTTGCATGCGTGAAATACAATCGTCTCCTTCGCAAGCAGCCTACATGCCAGGGGCGTATGTTTCGGGGCACATGTGAAGCCGGGGGGCTGGGGGGCTGGGGTTCCTCCCTCGGGAAATTTCATTTGCGGCTTTCTGGGTGATTGTTTTATGCACCAATTTGTTGTAAATATATTTATTAATGTCATGGAAAACAAAATTCAGGCACCAGGTGACAATTCGAAATATAAAAGTAGAATGTAATATAATGTAGTAAGGCTCTCAGGAATTTTTTGAAAGTTTTGCTTTCAAATATTTGTTCACCTGTAGATCAACTTTTCCCATTAATGTTGTCTCCGCTGAGTAAGCACACATGTAGATAGGATTTACTCCTCCGTCCCCTTGTTTTTTCTTTGTTTGAGGAAGTAAACTCTTTAAAGACGGATGAAGTTTACTTCAATCACACATTAATTAAATAATATCAAATAATAAACCCATGGACTATATTCCCTGATATGTGTTGATCAGCAACATTTCTGCTTGTGTGCATGCACATTCAAAACATATCCCACATATCTGTGTTCTCTGAGATTTCGAGAATAAAGTCATAATACTTTTTATAAAAATAATCCCAATACTACAAGAATAAAATCGTATATTAATGCAAATAAAGTCAAAAGGGGGAAGAGCGGGTAACAGAAACGTGTCTGTATTTGAAAAATTCTTCTTTATAAAACAAGTAATTTTAAGAATCATTATACTGCATCTGTGACTTTCTAAACATTAATCAAAGCCATAAATCAAACTCAATGGAACTTATTAAAAAAATAAACATTAAAATGATATGGTGAAACCTGTTACAGAAGGTGATCTAAATGCAATGTATTTGGTAATGTTATGAAAGGTACTTTGGAGCTAAAATTGTTAAAACTCTGTATTATGTCCAAAGCTGTGACCTGAACCAGCGGCTCGGACCATTTGGCTATCCTGACTGAATAAATTCGGAATATATTAAGAATGTCATGAGATCATACATTCTTTGTATACAATGCCTAGATGTATCATGTCTCAACTTTTACCACAACACAGCTTATTCCCTTGAGACACAAGTGTGCATCAAGGTTGCATTGTTTGACCTTTACTTAAAATCAGGTTCCACTGAGATTTGAACTCAGATCTTCGGATTCAGAGTACAGACTGCTAACCATTACACCATGGAACCTCTACGTCTTAGAAAAATACACAGTTTTGCTAGACAATTTCTTATTTGGCATCCACCAGTATGTTATCTGTGCAGGGAATAGGAAATAGAAGGCATACAACG